ACAACTACCTACCTACGCAGCGTCGACGCTCACACGGAGCGCATGGTCAAGGACCTCATCCGCGACGAATTCAAACACCACACAATCATCGCCATCGCCCACAGGCTAGACACGGTCGTCGACTTTGACCGCGTCGTGGTCCTCGACAAGGGCCGCGTCGTCGAGGTCGGGAACCCCCGGGACCTGTTGAGCCAGGGACGGGGCAAGTTCAGGGAGCTGTGGGATGCAAGTCGGCGGCAGGCTGGTGGACAAGATGAATGAGGAAACCTATGGTACACGGTGTTGAATGCACTTTGAATTGGGAGAGGACTGAATACTCGAGAATTTGTGTTGGGAATAATTTGTAACTTGATTTCCTATCTCTTCAAAATATAAACGGCATCAACGGCGTTTGCGCATCCTCTATCGGATCACTATCCACGTTGATAAATCTCCCCTTTCCAGCTCTTTGCGCTACAATGTACTTCTCAATCGCCTTTGCCATGTGCGCCGCCTCACGGAACCTCTCGTGGTCCGCAATCGGTGTGTCTACGCCGATCTCATACCCATACCTCAACTTCAGCTTTGTTACTTTGCCCCATGGCCCGGTCCAGTCGATGTGATCCCCGTCAACGTTGGCCATGAGCGCCTTGAACCATGCCCCACAGCCTGTGAGGTCGAGATACTCGAGCCCGTAGAGGGACTTGCTCAGCTTCCTCAGCAGAATGACGGCTTCGGACCAGTCATCGTCCAGGGTATGCGCGTACGCACCCGTGCCTGAATAACTCTCGGCGCGGCCGTCAGATGAGACAATCTTGGAGAACTTTGCGTTGGGCGTCAGCGACGGCTCGGGCCAGTACGCTAGGCTCAAGTGCGTGAGCGTGGGCAGCTTCGCCGCGAGCGAGAGGAGCTGCTTCCACGATACGCCGGGCATCCCGCCGCCTTGCTGTGCGCTAGGGGCGACGGTGAGGCAGAGATGCGTGATATTGGGGAGAAGCTTCGGCGGGAGCGAGGGCGCCTCTGCTGTGTCCCAGGAATCCTGCACGGCCTCGGCGGCGCTCGCCAGCTGCTGTGGGAACAGCACGTCGGCCAACTCCCTGACGGACATGGAGTGGCCCACCGAGCCAGTCAGGTCGAGGGAGTAGACGTCGTTGTTCAGGGACACCAGGCCATCGACGTCAAGTGGCTGCTGGCCGTCGTGCGTCGCAGGAGGAATCAGAATGTTGTGCAGGTCTGTAGCGGATGCGCCGCCCTCGTACCATACGCCAACATACTTTGCCAACGAGGCCCTGACGCGGCTGGGCAGTGTGTGCAAGTAGTACTGATCGTAATCCTTATGGAGCTCCCAGTTCAGGGCCATCCTTCGGAGGACGAGATCCATCAGGCTGCCCTTGTCCGGCTCGTATGTGCCAGGCAGGCCCTCCATGGCCTGGGCGCCGCGGTGGGCGGCGGTCGCGTGTGCGCGCTGGACATGGCTGGATGGTGATAACCAGCTGCGTGGAGGTGGCGGGCCTGGTGGTACTCGTCTGCCTGTGGCGTCGAATCTTGGGACACGCCTGGGGGCCGGCGGAGGGGTCTCTGGGATCTGGAGGATCTGTCGGAGAGCGGGCGGGACGGTGGGCGTGGTCGCTGCCGATGCTGCTGCTGATGCTGTCGGGGTAGCACGGGAGGATGATCGGCGAAGATCAGCCAAAAGTTCGTTGACGCCCCTACGTTGGGTCTCTGTGTTGCAACATTGTCAGTGGCCGAAGCGACGTCACGGAAAGGAGCTCGGTGAGAGAGGAAAGGTAAGGATGGGATAGAGAGAAGAGAGGAGAGGAGGAAGAGGAGGGGCCGCGGCCCGGGGGGTGTGCGCGATGGGCGTGGGGTTGTAGTTGGACTTACGAGTAGAAGAAGAGGCTGAAGCTGAGGCACCCAATGAAGACGGTGCAGTTGACTGCGGCTTCGAGTATAACGCTTGATGCCTTTTCTTAGTCATGCCCGGGTGAGAGATGAATGTAAGGTAAGGAAGGGGGAAGCTGTGTGAGGAGGCTTCCGGATGGGAGGTGTAGGCGGGGGTGGAGAAGCCAGGTACGGTAGGTTTCTCTTCGTTGTCGTCGATGGTGGTTGTTGTTGCAGAGCAGAGCAGAGCAAACAAGCTTCTAGCGGGCGCGGCTTTGTCTGCTATGTACTCCCTGTACTCTGGAATGTTGTTTCCGCCTTTTGCATCCGCCTTGGGGCAAGCGTCAGCAACAACGAGATGAGTCGCCAGTTGCTCAGGTCTTGTTTTCTGCTGTGAGTCACAAGGCAATCTGGTCAGTCAGTCAGTCAGTCAGTCAGCAAGCATACACAGTAAGCTGCAGAGCGAGGTGAGAACGGCAGAGTCATTGCATCGCTTTCCCCGGTGCCAGGTGTTGCTCACCAAAGAATTAATTGATGCCCTAATTAGGTAGTAGCTTTTTTAGGATCGAATAAGGGCCGTAGCGTGGCTTGGAAGGGGGGGAAACGTTACAAACGTCATGCTGCAAATGGGAGAGAAGCAGCACCTAAGCACCCCTCATGCGCCTCGTTTTCGTTGTTTGTCAGCTTCCGCCAGTTGCCAACTGGATCCGCCCACGAGCGCTAATACGCTGCTTTCCCCTCCACTCCAGGCGTCCAGCGACTCTCAGCCTGAGGTGAGTCCCGGTTTTACACGGACTTCCAAATCCCAGACTCCCAAGTGCCCTTGCTCAGTGCGCGCTGAATCACTGAATGAGTCGGGCGGCAAGGGCAGAGCACGCCAGAGCAGGACCTTTCCCCCTTGGGGCAAACGCATGGTCTGAGCGTTCGGATGTGCGAAGAAGGTGCCCCGGCCCGGACACGGGCATGACCCGCTCTGCCGGTCGACGGCTCGGCAGGTCCTGAACAATTGACAATCCACGACCTTGTGGTTTGACCCACTTCCAATACCTCAGACCTAAAGTAAGGTACTACCTTGACTTAGAGGAATGAAATTGACTCGGGCCCCCTTCCACAAAACAACAACAACCTCTACGGCCCGACTGACGGGCTTCTGGGCCCCCCCTTCGTCTCCCAATCAACTTTTATTGTCTCTGTCCATCACTTTTTACTATAGAGTAATGTGAGGAAAAGGTCCTCTCCTGGCAAACTCGACTGCCGCTAGACCTAACAGCACCTTAGAGTTTAAGACTGCGTCCGCCAGCTTTGTGTCACCCCTATTTCGTGTAATGTTTCAACAGAGAATTCCAAGAGGAGAGATTATTGCCTAGCATCTGTCCATGGAGCATTCACTCTAATGCGGGGCGTGACTGGTGAGCAATGCATGTCATGGACGCCACCAGCACCGACGGATGGATGGCGATACCTAGAACCATTGAACCTCGAACCATCCTCTTATCTGGGACTGGCTCGTTATGGCAGTCTCGATGCAAGAAGCCGCCATATCACAACTCATCATATTCGCCAAATCCGCCCTCGTGGCTAGATAGTGTTTGTGTGACCTTCTTGGGCCTATCCAGGGCTTGAAATAGGCTGCCTGTCTTGTCTTTTCAGCTGTTGCTGTCAACGACTGTCTCGAATCAGTGATGGGTCCCTATTAGGAACATCGTGGTAGCCGGGCAAAGTGGTCTCTCTTTTTGCTACGCGCCTTGAAGATCGGGTAGCCGCACAGCTGGCTCTATCGATTGACTTTCCTCACGTCATCCTATTGGGCTATCACAATCACGAGTCAGCAGCCCGTTGAAGATATCGCATCATTTTGACCTCATCGAGGGCTAGGCCTTCCCTTAGACCCAGATGTTGGCGTACGAAGCCAGAGTTGTTATGATACCCCAGCCAGGTAAGCCACGTCAAAAGCGTGGCAGAGCTTGCTTCGACATCCAAAGGGCCCGGTAGCCGATGGATCCATGGATCTATCATTAAGGGCCCGTCCAACGTTGCATCCACAAAAGCCCTTGGCAGGCTCCTGACAGGCGGGCCTGAAACTGGCCTGCTGAACAACGTGCGTCTCGGATGCACACGGTGTTCGTCGTTGACTTTTGCCAATGGCGCGACATATTAGACTCTGGTACTCTTGTACGCTTAAGACGTCAGGCAGGTCAGGAGCATGCTGCTAGCCCGCAGATGGAGATTTGCGGATAGTCTGGGACGGTCTTCAGGGATGCCCGAGGGCAACCGGGGCGGGTAACCTGGGTGATCGACCGCTCCTGATCCTTTACCAATCACCCTTTTGTGTTGTGAAGGAGGCCTTCAGCGGGGAGGTAAGAAGCCTTACACAACATGGTCAGGGGCCCGGTCATGGAGACGAAACATGAGGTGGCGCTTGGTGGCAAAAAGGCTTGCTGACGGGGTCTTATACGTTTGACAATTCGAGATTGACAGTCCCAATCTGGAAGGAGAAAGCGAACAAATTCGGAAATCTGTGTTCCAACATTGGCCAGATTCGACGTCAAAGGCAACATGATGAAAACCCTGTCCGTAAGGGGGTCATCGAGGAGGGGCTTTTCGGTAGATGCGCAGTTACAGCCCATGATGTCGTGACGATCCCGAGGCAATGGCTCCAAGGTGAATGCTCATGTGCCCCTTGTAGCCTCGTAACAACCACTATCCGATCTGCGACATGTGAGTTATCGGCCCCCAAAGATTCGCCTATGCCACCTACGACTCAACCAAATCTGGTGTCTTGAGCGATACGCTGGCGCTTTTCGGAACGAGCCTGGCACTCGAGACCGAAAGACAGCGATCGGATCCTGAGTGTGTTATTCTGGGTATCTTCCCTAAGACTGCCAGTTCCTTTTCTCTTTTCGACTGCCATATTGTCATGATGTGGAAGCCCTTTCGGCTAAAGCCCTCTTGTGTCACCTGGAATGAATTTTGCTGCCTCGAGGGGTACAGTCCTGCAACGGCAGGGGGTATGGCATGCTCGGTAGTCACGAGGCCTAGGCTCCAGGTCACAGAGCATTTCCTGTCGTTGGAATGGCGCAAAGAAACCCAGGCCGGTAGTCTCACGGCGCCTTGGCCAACCCGCTCTTTCAACTAGGAGCTTACGCTTGCCGGGTTGACCTTGCGCGAGAGACGAGTTCCGCAAAGACAGCGAGAACATCGGAAAGTGAGCATCGAGGGGTTGGAGCTGACGAGATTGCCCGTCGTAGAACAAGAGCTGGAAATTTCTTTCTTGACCGCCTTTTTGATAATTTCGCGAGGCAACCAGCATACCGGGTCCTTCTGTCGCAATCCGTAGAGAGACGGGGGTGGCTCATTATAAGCCAAGTCAAGACCCTAGATGCCCGCGTCGAATGAGACGAGAAGTGATAGGCCGCTGTCACGTAGTCACTCCTTTCAGGTTTTGTTCCACCTTGTCTTCTCCCGCCTCTGTACAGGTCTCGTACATATCCAGGCAAGAAAGCCTGCTGATAGAAGCCTCATTGGAAATGCACACCCTGTCGAGTCTGCGGTGCGTACGCCACATATAGCGGGAGATTTCTGCGGGACCGGGGAGCAGAGCCATAACCTTTTGATAGCTCTCTCTGCATACTTGCTTCTTTGTTACCGAGTGTCCGATGATGAAAAGGACCCGGTCCCTCACAGTCGCCGTAGCTGCTGTCACATTGTCGAAGTGGTCCGTGTATACTTATTGCTTTGCAAGGGTTGATGGCCGGATATGTAAGAGAGACGATCCGTTTGGCTCTCCTGTTGTCCTGTAGGCGGCCCTGCGAGACATTCCTGGGATGTTGGGCCGGGAAGAAGTAGGGTTGATACCAGCAGCAGGACGCCTGACCCGAATAGTCAGCGATAGATTGTGATCCGGAGGCATAGCTTATCCCAAGATAACTTGGCAATAATGACACCGAAAGAGAGAACATGTGGCAAGCCGTCGTATGGTACCAGAAAGGCCCTAGAGGTACAAAGTAGTACATGGGGCGGGTTCGGGACACGGTCCGGTTAATAATCATGCTGTATGGCCATGGCCATGGCCATGACCCGGACTCTCAATAGACATGCTGTATGGGTAGCTGCTCTTGTCGAAAGTATGAAAACATAGTCCTCGTTTTGAGATATCTGCTGGCTGGTGAGTCACATAGCTGTGATATCTGTATGTTGGAGTTGATGGCCGGCTTAGGCTACGAAAGTGTTGGAAAATGGAGCGACACCAGTCGCATTGATTCAACTTGTCTGAAATCTGACGAAGACATGGTACCAGACCTGTTCTAGGTTCTGAACGGCACAGTTGCCATGGTTTGCGTTTTTGCGGCCTCCAAGGGGTGGGTGTTTGTCCAGCAAAAACAATGTTTCCGGACAAGTATCAGTGCAGAAGGAGGCTTGAGAGATTCGTGCACAAGGTACTCAGACTGGTGTAGCAAGGCAAGAGCCAGAAAAAGGCCAGAAACACGAAACGAAGGGAGAAGAGAGGGCCGATGGCGGCGCGATGCCGCATGGCTAAGGAGTAAATGTGCCTTTCAAGAGTCGGTGAAAGAGCCTCGGGGAGGTAGTGCCAGCGAGAGATGCAGCGAGGCAAAGGAGAGCCAAGGGATCGGATGAGGCTTAGAAACAGATTCAGCGGTAGCCACGGCAAGCAGATATCTCGTTGAGCTTTTTTGTCAGGTGAGGTGAAGAAGATGATGTCTGAGAGCTTGAGGGAACTTGCAAGTTAAGGAGCAGAGTTTAGATGTATGTACCAAGGGCGTGGGTGTGAGTACCTACCTGCCTTTACCTCATAGGGCCGGAGGCACAGGAAGGCACAGTGTGCGAGCAGTATAGTACTTTAAGGTAAGTAGGTAGGAAGCAGCTCGTTCCGGCAGGCAGCCTGCGTCAGGTCTACCGGGCTTAGTCAATGTTGGTCGGCGACTCGGCGTACCGGAGATCAAAGAGTAAGGTACGGGTAGAGGTCGTAGACAATGGAAGCCCAATGCCACCTCAGCATTGTGTCGTACCACATATCATATTACCTTACATATTGCAGTTGTGAAGATGAAGACTAGGTAGGTAGGTATGGGGTACCTTAGGTAAGGTAGGCGTGTGTAGGTCGATGATATGCAGGCTGGGCCGTGTAAATGAGGCACTCTCCCGCTAGCCAATTGGAAGACCCACTTGACTATCGGTACATTCACCTGAGTGCTCCACTTCTACACCGTACCGTGTGAGAGCCTTCCTTTCCAGTACTGTCAGCTCCATCCCAATTCCCGCCATCATTTCTCACCTCATCACCAACCCCAGACAGTGCAAGCTCTCTTGACCACCTTGGTCAACGACTGGTCCTCGACCACGCCCGCCGGCCACACCACACCGCATGTACCTACATGTTTGTTTCCTCCTTTGCTCGAGGGGCTTGAAATGCATGGCTCCTTGCTGACCACTGTACAGCATTTCATTGATTGCTCGAGCTATGGCGCTCATCATCTCCAACAAGGCACCTAGGAGCAAGTCAACGTCGTCCCCCTGAACGAGGAAAGCATTCATAATACTCCGTACCGACAGCTGCTTTGTGCATACGTATCGGTACCTAGGTATCTGGGCCTGCTCGTCAAGCCGAAAGCAAGAAACCTATGGATAGACGACAATGCAATATTTATGCCGCCCTCAGCTCGTTCCACTCGCCTCTCAGACGATGGATCGCTCGCCAGCCCTGTATTCGATTCATTCCAACCCCCAAATGTTCAACTTGTGCGTTTGTTGTAGCCTCTAGATACGGGGTCTGATCCTATCCAGGTCGAATGCTTGACAAAGTTGCGACATAGCCTGGATGCCCCAAAGGCGCATCGCATCAATCCGCAGACGCACACCAACGACGTCTAGACACCATTCTTGGAACAGAGTCTTGCATCCCGCCTAGCCTCTAATTGCAGTATATTCTATTCCCGCGATTCTCCAAATTTTCCGGCACTTCCTTGTGTCACCACCCTCGCCGAAACCCCTGTTATGGCCTTGTACATGCCAGACCATTAGCAACAACAACAGCAACATCTTTCTTTACTGCAACAAGTCCGCCGTCAAATCTTCTGCTACTCAGCCGGTGTCTGCCCATCACTGAGAGGACCCTGGTGTCCGTGATACGTCACATCACACAAGATCTGATCTCTGGAAGCAGGCAAAGGAAGAAACATGGGGAAATGGTGCCTTTCATACTTCCATCTCGCAGGCGACGACGAAGAATCCGGCACATGCTGCTGGAGAATTAAGCTACACTCAATTCGGGGGGGGGGGGGGGCTGCATTATGATTTACATGTCGATGACATGCTGCTGGACACGACAGAGCAATCGTCAGCGCCCCCTCACACATCTGCCGTCCCGTCGGTAGTAGCAACAGCAGTAGCAGTAGAAGCGGCAGCAGCGGCGACGGCGTTGAAACGAGCCAAAGAAACGGCCACACTCAAATTCGAGCGGCCCGATCCGACGTGACTGGATCATCCTCGACCAGCTACTTACTAATTAGCCTCGACCATCAGCTTTCGTTTGGTCAAGCTTCGTCTCACGAGTGCTGGCCGTGGCTCTGGCCGTGTACAGCAAAGTGTCCAACATACAAACCCTGCCCTGCTGGACTGATTCTCCCTCCAGCGGATATCAGGCCATAAGTCAACCGGCCAGTCCGGTGGCCCAAAAAGACCCGGAAATCAGACTTCTGAAACAATGAAGTTGGTTCCATGCCTCATGTATGGTGGCGCGCGCATCAGGTACAATTGTCTAGATCTTTCTGGACTAGTCAGCGGGAACCTGCACAAACGACTTGGTCAGCTAACGCATTGGCCTAAATTGAGTCTGCACTTTTGAACACGAGGTGCAGAGCCTATCTTCCCGACACTAGCATTGACGACCTCAGGCAAAAGATTGGCCGGTCCGTACCATCTTTGGGTCAGTTTGGAATTAGCATTGCCTGCTTTTCTCCCATTCTCGGGTATTGCGACATCCCATTGGATCCTTACGAAGAGGCACGGCTCAAGTTTGTTCTAATCCTGCATTGTCATGCTTCGGCTCCATGGATGATGAGTTCGGTCTTGCCAGCCTCGGAGAGGCGTTCAGTATTCGTACGGTCACTCAAGCCGCTAGTCAAAGTAAGCGCGGACAACCTAAGAACACAGCGCCGTGGAGAGAAATGGTCCGATGGCAAGCTGTCAACCAGGTTAAGGCGAAACCCTATTCTCATCGCACGTGTCATGTGGCGAGCCTGTCTCTGCCGGCCGAGACACGTCTCTACAAGTCGAGTCTGATCATGGTTCATCAGGACCGATTCTGCGGCAGCTCGAGCGTTGTGCTCATAGACAAGCCACCAAAGGATGCTGGGTCGCATGGGCGGCTTTAGGGCCGAAAGCTACGTGGTGGATCTTCAACAAGACCACGACTTTTGCCAAACGTGTCTTTGGTGTGGCTGTAGAAGACGTGAGGCTGCCTCCACCATCGTCGTCAGCCTAGACTTGAAGTTCTCTGGCTGCATACAATTGTTCCGATGACACGAGGTCAGAGCTCCTCCGCAACGAATTCGCTACTATCAACTTGTTTCAACCAATCCAACGGCACTTAACGCAGGGTGTCGGTCAACTCTGGACGTCATCCCAACACCTGGATCTCAATGGCCGGGATTGTCCGCTAAACGCCCATCTCCTTTCACGACGACTGCAAGCTGCCGCTGATAGCCCTCCTCGTCGCCAAGGGCAAATCCTTTCCCTATCTGAAGGGGTTGTTTGTGGCGTTTCATCCAGGCCCTTGATCAACGGGTAGGTGCAGAATTGCTGCATGGAAGGAAAGCTCAGCGAGGCTTGGAAGGCGTCGTCTTCCGCTCACCAACCGAACGACCTCGACTGACCCGGCTACACGCCGATGCAGGTCAGTAGATCCTCCGCTCCTTGGTTCGAAGAAGGCGCCTTGATCTAAGCCTGAATCCATCTGTTGTATCATGTACAGGCAGACTATGGCGATGGAAACGTTGCTTGTGCTAAGAGTCTCTAGCCATCAGGCTTGAGCGCTTGTCAGCTCGCGGATTGATGAGCGGTATAGCATCATTCCACCTTGATTGCACCCTTAGACACGGCCACAAAGACTTGCTTGCCTGAATAGCCCCACGGACCTGGGCCATTGAGAAGCTTGGCCAGCAGCAAAGTCGAGTTGTACAGACTCCCACCCCCCTGACCAAAATACCTCGACTTTGGCCCTAGCCGGCTCCCGTTACCTTTGCTTGACGGCTTGGCGATGGGAAGTTTTCCTACCCTGCGCATTCGGTTCACACACCTGTAATCGTATTCTAGCAAAGGAAGCACCAAAGGCAGGAAAAGCACGTCTTTTCGAAAAGTCGACCGGGGCTTCTGGGAGCTCTCCGCAGTGCCGCACGACTGAATGTCTCTTTTTGCCGTTGTCTCAGAGACTGCACAACCCATTTGCTGCTCGCGCGCGGAGGCCCCCGCCCTACCTCTCCCCGATATTGTATATTGTATCCATTACACCTTGAGCTTCTAGGACAGTAGCCGGACCTCTGCTTGCGAAATCCAGCTGTCTGCTGCTTCTTGGTTTGTGCAACTGTGTCCAGCAGTCAGTCGCAGTTGGAGCCTCCAACCCATCTCTGTCTCTGTGCGATCTTGAGCCAGCCACATCTGGGGTTTCTCGGGAGGGTATATAGATACCTTGCTTCCACGATCCTGCACTTTTTTGGGCCTCTCGTAGACTCTTCGACTTAGACAACTACATCTCCAGGACAGAGACTCCTTCGATATCTGTTTAGAACGAATAGAAGCTACTGGTTTCGACTGCTCGAGTTACTGCACCTTCCTCGCATTACGGCCTACAACAATTCACTTCGAAAGCCTATCCGATACTCGGAGAGACAAGACATTAGCCAACAACAGTCTAACATCTGATCAACACGAAAAGTTGAAACACGAGAGAATCGTCATATAGTAAGTGGAAACCGCAACTCTTCCTCCTTTCCCCCTCGTGGACTATCACTAGGTCTCTTTGGCGCGATGCTCCCTCTTCGTAAGTTGTGGGTTGCCACTCAGGGCGATTTGCACCGGGGTTCGTTGGCTAGGACCCATCTTGCCGGTTCCCCCGCGTCAGAACCTGATTCGCGTTGATTGAGGACGGGGTCAATCGCTGGCTTGCTGACCATTGTTGATGAGGCAGCTGCACAATCTGTCGCTGAAAGATAAATGAGAACTAACTCCATTTCAGGTACCTATAGCAATCTGTCGTGCTCTTCTTCCTGCGAGTAAGTGAGACCGCGCTCTCCGTTGATCACCTAGTGTGGAGGAGGACGACCCAGCCAGACCATCTCCAAATGGGAATGCGCAACCAGATAGGCGGGAAAGACAGCAGCTTGATGTGCGCTGCATAAGGCAGTCTTGGAATCCGCGCAGAGGATTTGTCAATGTTTACGGCACAGCTGTAACGGCGCGATGCTGTTCTTGCCCTACCCGTGGATCCACGGCGGTGTCTCTAACACGATCGATCGATCATGTTGGAGCAGTGGGAGATGCGCTCATGGGTCAAAAAGAAACGGCCACGTTTGTTTCTGACAGAAACGCAAGTTGGGTCCGTTGCTGACGGCAGATTCGAATTGGCTAGGTCAAGCAGGATAAAGAGCTGCACGCAAACCCTTGGCATGACAGGGGCACTCTTGGAGAGTCAACCGGTGAGTATTGAAGACCCGTGAGCCCGCGTGGAGTGTTGGGAAGAGTATCTTTCGAGTCGATTCTTGGAGCCGAGCGAAGAGGCAGAACAGTCTACAAGACGAGCATCGCGGCAAATCAAGCCAGTACCTGCCGAATATCTGAGAGGGAAAGGCAACAGAAGCAAGTCAGTGGAAGAGGATTGGACGAGTTTGTCGGGTGTGTTGGTGGGATGGTTGGGTTGGGTTGGTTGGAAAAGGAGCCAGGATGTTTGTTATGGGAGCATTGTGTGCTGACAGTTGCGGTATCGAAACAGAGGATCGAGGAACTGGGGCGACGAGAGCGCTGTTCCAGCGCCAGCACTAGCACCAGCGCCAGCATCAGTACCAGATCACCGCCCCTCTACTACGGCACGACACCCCTCGTGGCCGGCACGGACGACCGTCGTATGAATCCTCAACAGCTACCAAAGGTACCGTGTTATCCGTCATCCTATTTCTGCCCCCTTCTTCCCTTCGGAATCCCTCCCTTTTTCGCGGCTCGCTTGCTTCCCTTCAGGCTTATCCAAGAGGGGGGGGAACTCGTTATGGATACAATGTTCCTATCCTGGTTGGCCTGCCTTACCTGATCGAACAACCATAACAACCCCCTGCAATGTCACTTTTACGCTTCGTTCCCGAGCCCTCTTCCCTTCCGTTCCCTTCTTTCCCTTCCCATTTCCTTTACATCGGATCGTAACGGACGCTGTGCCCTACGGATACTCCGGACCCGGAAATCGAAAAAAACCAACTGGAGCAACAATTGCGGCGGATGTTGCAACATACCAACAACAATAACAACAATGGACCGGCATGTTCATCAACTTTGATTGATTAAATCGGCCAGGAACCCGTCCATCGGTCGGCGGATGGGGTCGGATCTGCTGCACAGCTACTTAGCTCATCAGCAGCACATTTACGATTACGATCCGGCACAAATTAGCATTATCGGCAAGACGAGACATTGCAAGACAAGACATTTTACGCACAGGACAAGACGAGCGAGACAGACGCGCAGAAACCAACAACGCCTTCAACGGGTGGCGCAGGCAAGGAAGGGCGGGCGAGTCGAGGGCTGGTCTACGCCCAGATCCACGTTCCTAGCCACGTCCCGACGGCCTGAACCTGTCCCGAAGTACGGACAGGCAAGGAAGCGGGCCGAGTGAGGCTTTGCGAAAAGGTGCGTACGCGATTTGGCTCTCATTGCTTTTTCCAATGTCTCTCCTGCCTTGCACACATTCGTCGACGGCACTTTGAGTTCGTCTTGTTTCTCATTTTTCTTCCCTCTCGCCATCTCAAATCACCTGCCTCCCCTTGGAATTGCATTCGGACCAGACAGAGCAAGAGGAGGAAGAAGAAAAAAGCAAGAAAAAAAAGAACAAGGTTGAGGGAAGAGAGCAGAGCAATGCAGCAGAACAGAGCACATTTGGGCCCCCATTCGAGGACAACCAACATGCATGCAATTGCTCCAGTCGCATGCTTTTGTGCTTTATTCGTTTCTTTGCTCTCTCTCTCTCTCACTCTGTCGCTCTCCTTTGGGGCCTTGAACTTCCATAGGCCCATCTGATGGGACGAGGAACATAAGACTCGGAGACGATTGGTACTACCACCACCACCATCAATGCCTTGTCCCCCGACACTCAAAAGGCGCGCTGCTGGGGAGGGCGCATCGATGTGCCTCGCACTCATTGAATCACTCACTCGCTCACTCCCGGGTTGATGTGAGGTGTGCCAGCCGGGCGTGTGAGCTTGAGAGGGAGATGTGAGCATGCAGATAAGTGTGTGTATGAGTGTGTGTCTGCTCTGCAAGACTTATCACTCTGGCCTGTCGGCAGGCTCGCTCATCTGCAAGTCATGCAAGCAAGTACACTGTGGTGCCTGATGGTATTGGATTGTACCGTGTCTTTCCCATGTTGCCTCTTCTCCTCTCTCTTTCTCTCTTACGCTCTCTCACTCTCACTCTCACTCTCACTCGCCCACACACATACACACACCACACGCACCTGTACACACACACACGCACACACCGTCCCTCTCACTCTCTTTCCCTCTGTCTCTGTCTGTCTCTGTGTCTCTTAGCCTCTCTTTCTTTCACTCAGTCTCTCTCTCTATCTCTCTCCCTTCCCCTACTGCTGTCTCCCTCTTCCCCCTCCGCTGCTGCTGCTGCTCCCGCTGCTGTTGTTCTTCTGCCGCCGCTGCATCCACCGTGGCTCCTCATCGGTCGGGCTCAACGAGACCGACCAGGCCCAGACCGGTCAACCCCAATACCAGCACCCACCCCCTCCCTCTTCTACCTCATTCTCAAACTAGTTTATCGCATGTTACCTCCTTGTGGGAAGATGTCTCTCTTTGGCACGCCCAGCTAACTATCGCCCATGATTGCGCCGCAGGTCACTCACTTGTCCCCTCTGTCCGCTTGTCTGTGGCGGATCACGCCTGAGGCGTCTCGCCCCCGCAACACCCACACAGCTTCCCCCCCGGCTACTACTCCAGCAACGGCACAGCATCCAGATCACTTTGCGAGATCTCATTCTTATTCCCATCATCTTCATTCTTCCAAGAAAGAAGAAAAGGCTATGATCTAACAAGTGCTGCCATCCAAACAGGAGTTCGAACCGTCGACAGGCTATGATTACCTTGACATGCAGGCAGCTTCGGGCAATGACATGCGGTATGTAAACTTCTCCTTGATTTTGATCTCGACTCCTGCCCGGTCCTTGCCAGGACATGGCTTCTGCTTCTTTCTCGGGACTGCAGGATCGTGGTGCTGCGGTGTGCAGGCCTGGTCGGTCATGGCTTTCTTCAGGGTATCCAGTCACTTGGAGCCCTGGTCAGAATTCCACCACCGACTTGGCAATCGTACTCCTCGCTCTGCGAGCCCTACTAAAGATCCAGACTTCTTTGGCTCGAATTCTTCTCTTCTGATCGGTTCTCGGCTCAGCGTCCTAGTTTGGCGTGCCTTGGACGCGGAAAAGACGTATGCAGAGACAAGGGCATCTGATCTTTGCAGCGGCGAAGGATGGACAGGCGTGGGTAGCTGCCTTCTGGCAACCAACGTGCGACTAGAAATCCGCAGGCGTTCCCGCCTATCGCAGCGAGATGGTTGTGCGTCCTCGCATGACCCGATCCTGTATCCGCTGGCCGTTGTGCAACACGCTGCTGGCAGTACGACGAGTTGGTAGCACTGACACTGTGTCTCGCATGCGGATGCGGTACAGCAGTTGTCGTGCCAGGCTCCAACCCTTTTGCTTTGTACAAGCCTCTTCTTTCGGGGAGCCACTCGGGCTGACGAGAACATCAGATACGAACACAACGCCAATGCTTCTCTGTCGACGATCGAAGGCCCGCCACAACAGTCGACACTCTTAAACCTATTCAATCCACCTATAAGCAACACCACTCCGTACTCCGCTGACGGCGGCTTCTACCATCCAGCCACCTCTCACGTCTACCCCAGCCTGGACGTCGTCAGGCCTCGCCTGGGTTCAAAGTAGGTTGCACACTGTTGCCCCTCTCCGACACGCTACCAGATGGAATCGATCCTATGCTGTCAAGATAGAAAGACATGGTCAAACTCACAGACTTACTTGACAGTAGCACCTCTTCAACGGGTATGGCACATGCCCACCGCTCCACAGCATTACCCCATCCTGGCACACACATCAGCACTCGAGACCAGTACTCTCCAGCGACGCCATCCTTCAGGAGGGTGTCGGAGCACCAGCCCAGATCTCCATCGTACCCAACTGCTCTACGCCGTCACCCCATCTCGCCAACGTCTAGTCCCATTACCGGTTTCACGGCGCCCACGGCTCTGAGGATGGACTCCGGTCACTACCCTTCGTCCTCCTCGAGGGCACAGGCGAGCGTGCCTCCACTAGGCAGCATCAACCCCCTCGGCATTCTCCAATACACTGACGGAAACATGGGGCAAGTCAAGATTGACATACAAGGCAATATCGACAAGGGCTTCTTCCAGTCTGAAGGAGACTGGACCTGCTACAGGAGGAACTACTTTTCTTGCATCTGCTCCTTCGGCCTGACCCCGCACTATCCTGGTCAGGGTCTACAATTCACACCGCAAGGCTCGACACAACCGTACTCAGTTCTCGGTTTCGCCATGTCCATCTCTGCTGTTGTTGCTGAGAACGATACCCACGTTATCGACCTCGTACAGCATACGCCTAAAAGAGACAAAGGTCCCGTCGAGAAACCGGGCAAAGTGCGCCTCCACCCGAAACATCCTCAGATGTCGCATCCTCTCGGCCTCTACTCCCACGATACCGGGATAGGAGGTTCGTCAAGACTCGGGGGGTATGACGCCCCAGGTGGATTCATTGGTCAACAAGGTGGCGGTGACTCGTACCAGACAGAACACACATTTGAGCGCATCCAGTTCAAGCAGGCTACAGCAAACAATGGGAAGAGGCGAGCTGCCCAACAGTACTATCACCTTCTGATTGAGTTGTGGGCCGATGTAGGATCGCAAGGCCCGGACAACTATGTACGGGTCGCCTATCGAAAGTCGGCCAAGATGATTGTGCGTGGCCGGTCGCCAGGGCACTATCAGAGCGAGAGGCGCGCCAGCACAAGCAGCGGGCCAGGAGGCTCGGGCGGGAGCTTCACCGGATACCCAACTAACTCGATCATCGGTCCCGACTTTGGGTCCGCAGGTGCGATGGTCGGAAGCGGATACGGGGGAGGCTTCGACTCCCGGGGAAGCGCCCATTACGGGTCGACACGACACCATCCAGAACTCGAAACCATGCTGCCGCCAGAAGACGCCAAAGCCATCGAGACGACGAAGGAATACCAATATTATCCGGGTCATATTTACGACACGAGCGATTCCAGGGGTGGCGTGGAAATGTTCACCCACAGCCGCCACGCGCAGGACAACTTGGTACCGCACATGACGCCAACCTACGACCCTCTCCACGACAGAGTCAAGCGGGATCCTGAGGGGGCGATGTTGCCAAGCATTTTCCAACCTGGGGCACTCATGTCGAACCAAAGGTGCGGTCCTTTTGAGGGCAAGCCGACGTCGGGTGGGTACTACCCAACAATGGTGCCCCCGTCCGGTGTCAATGTCTCCAACATGACATGAAGAGACATGAACACAAGTAATTCTTGCGAACACCAAGGCCGCCATGGTGGATCGCGGTCTGTACAATGAGGAACCCTGCAGCGGTTGGGCCCACCAGCAGAAGCGGGCAAACCGTTTATCAGCAAACCGTTTATCAGCAAACAGCTGTTTTTCCTTGGGGTCCTCTTCTTCTGGTTTCGTTTTTCGAGGAAATAATGAAAATTTGGCATAAACACGAAGGCGAGATTCTGGCGTATGGGAGCAACACAGGCATCAGGAACACCACTCGATACCCGAATGAGACTGAATGCATCGTTGACATTGAGTAAGCACAACATGGGTGGGGGGAAAACAAAACGAAGGGATCACGGCGAATTGGCGCGCGGAAAAGAGAAAGATAATTGTTGGTTTGAAATGGGATGGAGGGAAATTTGCCCCCAGCACACCCCGACGTTGAAACATCTTGGGAAGGAAAAGTTTGGGAAAAACGAAAAGGACATTGTCGGCCAGGTGGCCAGAGGGAGGGGGGGGGGGGGAAGGCGGGACACGGTGAACGACAGACATTGTTAGGGATACCCGCCGCGCATTGTTGTTTGGGATCTTATTCTCTGTTTTGTTTCCCGTTCATGTTTGGGGTTTCCTTCGTTCACGGCTCCTCCTCCTCTGTTGTAACCCCACCCCCTCCCCTCTTTCTCGAAAGGCCATGCGGTGTAGTAATAATGTGAGGATAAGGAACATTCGCTTCAACAAAGACAAAGTTTTTATTTTCCTATCGAGTCGGATACTCAGGAGAGAAAGATACCACGACATGAGGGGATAACGGATGGAGACGAAGTGCTCGAACGTATGGACGGGGAAGGTGGGGAGGATGACGGCGTACGAAGTTTCGAAGCGGAACGGACTGAGTGTGGTTTCTTCTGGAGGGCCAGGTACTGGGGAAGCAGCGGCGGGTGCCGATGCCAGGTACTTGGTTTGTTTATTTTATTTTTTGAGGGGGGGTGTATCAATTGTGGCAACTTTAAGCTTGAGCTCTTGAC